CTCTTTGCAAAGATATGGAGCAATTTCCTTTCCAAAAATCTGCCAACCAGAAATGATCAATTGGAAAACTAGTTTTTTTTTCCAAGTGTATGAAAATAGATATGAGATGCCTTTTTCTCATTTCTGTTTGAATTAAAGATCTTTTCAAAAACCTTAGTTGGAGAGCATTATAGAGATGCTCATTAACTAAAGGAGTTTTTTTAGTTTAAATAAAAGACTGCAGGTTTTTAGTTGATGCATATCTCTAAAACTCAAGACATCCCTACCAAACAAATCATGTAAAATCCACTTTTGTAGCGAATACAAACATTATTTTTTTTGCGTATACTTTGTAGAGATTGACCGATACATCAGCCGGCCGATATTTTTGGCTGATGCGAACATCAGCCAAAAATATCGGTATCGGTATCGTTTTTTTTYCCCTCGTATCGGTATCGGCCAATCAATTCCTTTGATCACGCGAGTGCATGTATTGCCGCTCCCTCCCTGGGAGAGGGCGGCTGGTAATGTAAGACTGAGTGCCAACAACAATAAGGGTGAGTTTTTTTAAATATAATTTTAATATATTTTGACTATCTATTTTAGCTGTATCTGCCCTCTGTCTATGAAGAGGAGAGAACAGCGTTTTTTTAAGTTTCACTTTGAGAACGAGAGTGCCGTTTTTACTTTCCCTTTCCCTCTGCAACTGAGTTTAGCTTGTCCACATTTTTTTTAAATGCTGGTTGAACCACTTACAGGTGACATAGAAGAACATTTTTTTTCTCCTCCCCGCTGAAATAAAAAAGTTCTCGGTCTTTTCTCTGTGTTACATTCATTAAGAGCGAGTAAAGTGCAGCCGACCACCATAGACATATGTAAACCAGACCCCTCAGAAGCTCACATCACATTTGTTCTGAACCCAGTATAAGAGTCTTGACACAGGTTTTCTTCTATGTACAATGTATTAGTAAATGCATTAATTAATAAATGTTTCTTTCTAGTTTAAATTGAGACTTGTTTAACATTTGTTATCATTGTTATTTTTATCATGTTGACAGAAGAAGAAAAAGGAGTACCAGCTCCAAGAATCAGCCCAAAAAAAAATCTGCTGCACAAGTCTGCGTATCAATTGGACTGAAGTCAAAATATCGGCCTTCAAAAATCTGTACCAGTCGATCTCTAGTACTAGTGCAGAAGAGTTGAATTTAGCTTCTCCTGGTGCTGCGTAGATACCTTTTTATATTCTGTTTGGGTCCGATTTTTCAAACCGTTCAGGTTTTTTTCTATTTTCTGAACCATTACATCACGGTATTTGCAATGGAACTACCAAATAAGGTCTGGACTTAAAAACTATAGTTTTGTTATCTTCATTCTCTTCTGGCTCTGGTTTCAACATGTGAGGCTGGATGGACAAGTCTTCCATTGCAGACATAGTTTAATTAATTTTTTGTAAATAAAAAGCTTCTGTGCTGCTATAGTTGTAAACACCTCTGTCAAACTAGAATAGACTGATCTGGAAGCTCCTCGTTTGGATCTAAAGAGATGAGTTGATCTGAGAAATAAATCTCAGAAAAGGGGTGAAAGAGGGGCTTGTGGAGTTACAATATGGAGAAATCCAGACCAAAGCATTGCAATTCCCCTTTATATAGACCTTTAAATGAAGGATTTAAATATGAAGGAGGATTTAAAAGCATCCAATGTCTTCTTTAAGATCAAAAAGTTTGAAACATGACTTAGGAAAAATTAGTATTCTAAACAAGTTCTTCCTTATTTACAAAGTTATTTTACTAAATATTACAAATGTGGTTGTATTTCCTGTTAGGCTGGAGCCAGATTTGCATTAAACAAATGTTATTTGTCAGCAACAAGAAAAACTGGCTGAAATTGAAACGGTTCCTTTAAAGAGCATACCAACACTCTGTACATGCCTTCAGCTCTGTAGATGGTGATGACTCACAGGATTACAGTTTTAAATATTTCCTGTAGTCATTCAAGTTTTTATGCATTAACATTGTACTCAGAATAAATATGGCAGAACATGTTTATATAATAAAAGCAGCATATGATTATTATAGTAGGTGTTTGTTTGTACAGGCTGTGTCACCAGAAGCTAATTTTCATTTTCAGACCCAGTCTWTAGTTTACGCTAAACTTCTACAACAAACTGTAAAAGAAAAGAGCAAAAAGATTAAAAGAAACACAAAATAATTACAAATAAAACAGAAGACAAAAAAAAATGCAGAGAGAAACTGTTAAGTTATGTTGACAGATTTGGTTTTGTTTGCACAGTTTGTTGTAGCTTAACTTTTTTTTCCCCAAGAAAACCTAAAGGGTGACCTGGACCTATATGTGAAGACCCTGGAGGATGAGAACCCAAGTCTCCGCATTACACGAGTGAGGCACAATGAGCAGAAAGGCCTCGCTTTCGCCAGAGCCTCGGGTTGGAGGGCTGCGACGGCCGATGTGGTGGCCATCTTGGACGCACACATTGAAGTCCACGAGATGTGGTAGGAATGTCTTATTYAACTTTATCTGAATCGAACAAAGGCACTTCCTTATTATGATCAGTTAAAACACAAATGAGGATAATTGAGGAGACATGTGGGAGTTCAGCATTCTGCGCAGAGATGAGCAGATGTGCGGCTGAGTTTGGGATCAAACCAAAAAACTGTCCACAAGTTGGCGAACAATAACCTGAGTGATTCAAAATAAATTAAATATCCTGTTATTAAAAAAATAATAATAATTAAAACTACACCTGCATAGTTGGAACATTTTCTCCTGGGGAGTATCCTCTGAGTTCAGGCAGTGTAATAATCAGCGTCACTTARTGTAGGACAATTAGCTGGTTGTATTTTTTTTTTTTTGACCTAGCTTGTGCAACACGTGTTTCTGGTTGTCAGCTCAGACTGGCAGTCTTATGGTCTTGAGTCTGTTTTTATAGCTGAAGCAAAGTCTGGTACACCAGCCCAGTTGTTATTTAGACACTATGCACTGTAGCTGAAAATAAAGTTTTTCATTCTTTGGTGACCCATTGTGGTAACATTTGGAAAATTAAAAAGGCTTGTCTGTGTTGAGAATTAGAAGAAGGTTAACTAAAATATTTCTTTTATTCCTCTCATCCAGGGCAGAACCTTTACTGACCCAGATCAAAGCGGACAGGACCACRGTGGTTTCTCCTGTGTTTGATCGAGTTAACTTTTATGACCTCAAGGTTGTTCATTACMTTCCATCAGCTCACGCCTTTGACTGGGCCCTGTGGTGCATGTACGAGGGATTTTCTCCAGATTATTACAAACTCAATGACAGCTCCTTACCTGGAAAGTAAGTTTATATAGATCTAATCGGATTTTGCTTTACTTCCTTTGTGTAAAACTTTAAAATGAAAATGCTTTACTTAATTTTTTTTTACCACAAATGTATAAACTCTGCAGTATTAATAAGTCGTCTTCTTTACCCTAATGAATCAGGAACTTCCACTGGTTAAAACAACTATTTCTATTGTTTTCTTGTTTTTCTAAAGCTTAAGTTGTAATCACAGATGATGGTGTAAGAATTGAAGCTCCACTTCAGTTCTTCTGTTCAGGCTGGTTGCATCTGTCCTAATAAAACCTTGGAAAAATGTTGAAGCATCTCAGCAAAGAAAGGCCGGCTGACAGGATCCCAGAGCTCTAAGTAATTATGTGACTCTGATATTAAAGCTGTGGATTTAATGGTTTAACAGCACATTTCTCAACTTTATTTATTGTTGAGAAACTCGTTATTTTTGCTTCATGTTGCATTCTGTTCAGGRCTGGGCTTTCCCCAAGGACTCTGATTCTTCCAAGAGTCCAAAAACATGAATGTAAGGTTAATTGGAGAATCTCTAAATTAAACGTAGGTGTGAGTATATCTTGTTGGATTGGGCACCTGTGCAGGACCAAACCAGTGTTCTGTCACTGTGGTATACCCTGTCAGAACAGCCAACAGGAAGTTGATTTTTGAAGCTCTGTTTGTCAATTTAGGTGTTTTATTGAAACAGCATACCGATGTTTGTGAGGGGGTATGCTGTTTTGATAGACTTCAGTACGTTTATTTCTACTCAAACATGTTTACATTAAAAAAGTTATTCAAGGGTCTTAATTTAATAAGGGTTGAACAGGTTGCAGTGGGACACTTCCTGTGTCCCCCTCTTAAACAGATGTCATACTGCACCTTTAAGACAAAAAAAATTATCCACTTTTTTCTTTCCGCTCTCAGAGTAGTAAGATGCTTTTTTCCTTCTCTCCTGCCCTGCCTTATCTTTCCCTACTTTGCTGCTTGGAGCTTTCTCTACATTTTTCATCCGAAACTAGAAATTATGGATATTTTTATTTTTTTGGATTTGGTTAGCTGGTCTCTCACTAAAATTTTTGGAATAAAGTTTATTTTTCTTCTTCCATGGGAGGACATGTGTGACCTCTGTTCTTCTCTGTTCTGGATATATATTTGGACTTCGATGACTGGATTCTACAATTTGGCTTGGTGGTCTCCTTGTGTTCTACAAAACAGCGTCAGTGGCTTTTCACTTTCTGGCTGACTGACCAACTGGATAGGTGGCCGTATTCTATCAGCACTCGGACATTTTGCCTTGAGCGAGCTGGACTCGATCTGCAAGCGGTTCTATTGAGGGTCGCGGGCCGGCTGTGGTCCCTGGACTTTGCTGGCCAGATGGAATTCATCTCGGAGAAAGCTGATGGATCGGCTCGGCAGAATTTGTCCACACCATTCGCCTGATTGGATTTGCCACCTTTGAGATGCACCAGCAGACATTAAAGCAGATGGAAAATTGTTATCGTCTGCCTGACTCTTCTGTTCCCAAAACAACTGATTACAGAATATGGCTCTCCCCGACAACGGCCTCGATCTGTTGACTAAATTCTTCCTGACTGGATCTCGTCGACAAGGCTCTGCCCTCCCCTCTCTCACCCGTCTGATGTGGTTTCCTGAGCAGGCTGAAGGCTGCACAGAATGAACTGTTAACATCAATATTCTGAACTTTGGCTGTGCCGGCTTTGGGGACTGGATTCTTCGGGCCCCCTAATCTCACTTACTCCTCTGGCTAATAAATCTGCCCTAAGCAGAGGTTTTTTTCATAAACACCATAGTGTGTCACAGTGTTGATATATGATGTTTTTGTTTTTTTTCTTCATCTTCCCTTCCCTTGTGTGGTTTTCTGTTTCCAAGATGGGGCTACGGTATGCAGCCTGTTACTGCAACTCCACTGTTTTGAGCTGCTGTAATGTTCAAATTTCTCCACTGTGGGTTCAGTAAAGTCTTATCTTATCTTATCTCATCCCATCTCAACTTATCTTATCTTAGGCACGATACATAAACAGGAGAAGTGCAATAAATAATATGTACTTAAAACACAAAAACCTACTGCTTGTTGTCTGGAGTTTGCTGAAATGAGTTAGAATTTAACACATGGGAAATTATGCAGGTTCCAAAACAATGAGTTAATAACTCTAACGTCTCCCTCCCTTTGTTTTAGAAGCCCATCAGTCATGGGAATCCTGGTGGCTGATAGAGCCTATCTTGGAGAAATCGGAGTTCTCGACGAAGGGATGAAAGTGTACGGTGGAGAAAATGTAGAGTTTGGAATTCGTGTAAGTAAACCTCTAAAATCAAAAACTCCAAATCAAGCACCTTGTGACGTACTGTCAGAGTTTAAGCAATCAAGTTATGCAATGCCCACTAAGCATCATCAAAGACTATGAAGACCTTTAAGGAAGTTTAGTGGTGGTGCACAAATTAACCTTTCTGAAAAGGTCATCAAACTGATTTTTTTTCTTTTAAATTCATGACAAAATTCAGGATCACAGATCTACAAAAGAACATCTGAACAAGTTTAACATACATCAGATTATCTTTAGAGGTTTAGGCTAAAGGTCATCATCAAATGCCTGATAGACAATCTGTAAACGAATGAGTAAAGAGCAAAGTATGCGAGGTATTACTAAACTTTCAGAACTATCAGGACGATTGGGATCACATATAGGTGGCCTTGGTTTTTTATGTTAAAAGCAGTACTTAAATAGTTTTCTTCATTTGTTTTCTGAAGGTTTGGACCTGTGGAGGCAGTATTGAAGTAGTTCCGTGTTCTAAGATTGCCCACATTGAAAGGCACCACAAACCGTATATGCCGGACCTGGGTCCTGCCATGAAGAGAAATGCCCTGAGGGTAGCAGAGGTCTGGATGGATGAATACAAACACAACGTCAACGTGGCGTGGAACCTGCCGTTTGAGGTACCCAAACATCAAATATGCCCACCACACAATGAACATTCAACAGTTCACAACTGCAGGTGTTGATTTTACATGATTTAGTTGTTTCTTTGCATTGAAATTAAGAAAGAAATGTTCTTAAAAGACATATGATGCTTTTAAATCCTTCTTTAAAGGGAGCCATGATTAGTTGTAACATTAGGCTTTATTTGATGAACATGTATTTTAACTGTAAAATAAAGACTGTAAAAATACTGTAGGGCACACCCTCTATGAACAATAGAACTAATCAAGCCTATTGTTAGGCGATGACCCTCTTTTGCATGTGACTAACCTGTTTGTCCATGTGGAGGCAGTGCTTATAAGGCTGAGTTCACCTGAAACTCATCAGATTGAAGAAGTCTCTTGGAGGAGAGACGAAACTTTTCACTAAAGAAGAACCCATCCAGAGGACCTACTTATTTTTTCTTTTTGAGTGATAGAAAATGGAGGAAAAAAAGAATATAAAGATATTTACGCAGCACCAGGCGCGACTAAATTCAGATTGTCTCCACTCCTAGAGAGGCCAACCTAACAAAACCTAATTTAACAGCTAAAAAAGTTGATTTTCCATGATATGTCCCCTTTGAAAGGACACATCCAACAAATCAGCCCATATTATAATTTGTATCTGCAGAATCATGGCATTGACATTGGAGATGTCACTGAGAGGAAGCAACTCAGAGAAAGGCTGAAGTGTAAACCTTTCAAATGGTACCTGGATAATGTTTATCCTAAGCTGGACCCCTGGGACAACCTGCTTGCTTATGGAGGAGTAAGTTTGATCTTATTCATGGCAGAAGAATCATTACTGCTGCATACGTATTCATGCATTTTTTTAAACAGACTCCTTCTTATCATTGTTTGTTTTTTTATGGGCAGCTGAAAAATCTCGACACCAACATGTGCGTAGACCAAGGTCCAGTACCAGGTCACACACCCATCGCCTACAACTGCTATTACTATGGTTCACAGGTAAGAGAAGCAGGTTTGAAACAGAGTCTCGTTCATGAGCTGAAGTTTTGTGTCCCTGTTGTTGGTAGTTTATAAAATGTCTCTGTCTGCTTTTGTTCTTCTTATTCAAGATCGTATATTTTCGTGGGAATGGTGAACTCTACGTCGGCGGTATTAAGTCCCACAAGTACAACGATAACCGGTGTATAGCCGACCAAGGGCAGAAAAACACCGAGCCTGGCCTGTACAACTGCAAAGAGGCAATGCAGAAAAGAATGGGCATATACTGGGAATTCAGTCAGGTAATACAAAAAACTAGAGATTGTTAATATAATCATGACATATGAAATAAAATAATAATTACATTTAATCTCTAATTTCAGGGCAAAGAAATTAAGAACAAGGAGTCAAAAAGATGTCTAGAAATTGATAATGGTGTACTTCTAATTCGGGAATGCACCGGCCAGAGGTGGAAGATCCAAAACGTAATCAAAGACTTTTAAAAAGTGGTCCGACCAGCAGGAAGTGCTCCTCTGCTTATTTGATGAGCAGAAAATTATGTATGAGTGAAATGCAAAAGTAGTAACACCAGAAGATGGGAAATAAATTAATTTGTTTTAGTTTGAGTGGTGGTTAAAGATAGAAGGAATTTATTTTGTTCACTATTTATTTTTGCTCTTTTTTTTATCAACAGTTGTCCATTATTTAAAATAAGAATTATGAATTTGATATTCTAAATCTTTCAAAAGTTTAAAATGTTTATGAAGCAATAGATTGCCCCCCCCCCAGTAAATCAGGTGGAGAACCAGGACATTGAGACGGTAGTGGTCACCTAGGGGTGGAATAAACGTTCCACCTGGCTTTGACCCTGATCTCAGAAGGCCTCCTTTAAAGAGACAGAACTCTGGTATGTAATTAGATGTAAACTGGAAAAGAGATTTGGTATATTGCACAAGAAGTGCCTCCTGAAATCTTGCCTAGGGTCTTAAATTGGCCTGTTTATCTGTAATTATAATGTAATAAAWAATAGTGTCAGTTGACTATTTTAAATGATAAAATAACTCAGTTTTACTATTCCTGTATATTTCTGAAGTATAATAAAACATTTCTAGACAGAAGTGTAAAATCTTATCACTTGCTGCTGAAGGTGAAAGGACAAAATTGGTTTTTCTCATTCGTGTGGGTGTCGTTGGCAAAGTCCTGAAACACTGGATGGATTTTATTGAAACTGGTTAAAAAAAAATCTGAAAAGATTAACTTGTGGAATCAATATGAGATGGATGCAGCTAAATGAACCTATAAAGAAACATCTGTCAGTTTGACACGTTTCTAGTCATAGCAGAGCATCTCCTCCAACACATGTTCCACCTTGTTTGACTGTTAGCAAAATATTTAATCTCTGGACAGATCAACCTTTAGAATCACCACGTTCAAGATACAGCTGATCAACATTAGCCAAAAAAATAAAAAAATGCTGTAACAGTCCATTTTACAAAAAAGTGAGGTAAAAATTTGGTTTGGTAGCAGCTGAAAGTAATCCAGTAACCGATGGGACAGTTCTGAACACTGCCTTAGTCAACCAAGNGTCGGCAAACTCCTGAAACACTGGATGGATTTTATTAAAACTCATAAAAAAATATTTGAAAAGGTTGAACACTGCCCTAGTCAACAAAGTCTTTGTTAGCGAAATATTTCAAACCAATAAACAGATTTCACTGGAACTGATTTAAGACAGCTGAGAGGCATCCTCAGCGCACATTCTGCAAAATGTTACATTATTGCAAAAATGTTGCATGGTTTGAACAAATTGACCAGAACTCCATTAATTCTCAAATGATGATGGTGGGTGATATGCATTCCTTCAAAGAAGCAGTTGATTGAATTATAAGTTGTTCAGAATTGCACTGAAAACACAGTTTAGGTTTTGTTGCTCTGTGTTGATAGGCAGACAGTAGGAAGTGATATTTTTATGGTTTAAATTAATCTGTGAAAACTTTTATGAATTCATTTACTCTTTATAAAACATGTTGGATACAGTCAGTTTTATGACATTTTATGTTTTTTTGTTACCAAAAGCATCAAAGCTGCTGATGATTAACCCACACTTTGCAGTAGTTACATTTTTTTTACATCATACTTTGTTCCAACACTTTGTAAGGACATGTTTTTATCCTATTTTTTTAACATTTCCTAACATTGAACGTTTTATAAAGGTGGTTGAGGAACAATTACAAATACATAAAGTGTTTAAGCAGGAATATATTCTGCTGCAATCCATTGCACGGAAGTCCTAAGATAAACCAAAGGTTTACTTTTACATCTATTTGTCTTCACTGGAATGTTTTAATAAGACTTACAATTCAGTTTGGGCGTGCTGAATAAATATTTTCAGGAGGATACACAAAGCGTTGAACAAATACGTGCATGACTTCTATGATCAAACAATGAAGAAGCAACATGGCACCAGAAAAGTGTTTTTAAAACATTTGGGTTTTACAGCAGAAATTAAAGCGTAAACTGTGAACATAATCTGAATATGTCAGGTGACTGCATCGTTGGGAATTAAATAAATTAAGTGAACTGCACATTATGGTCTACTTTAATTAAATTTATATTTATTTTAGGG